TCGGTAGAGGATATTTACTACTCCACGGCATCCCACCTCTGATGTTTTGAAGGTCCGTGTTTGCTTTGCTCCTATTTTGTATTGTTTTAAGAAATTTTTGAGCTTGAGTACTGTTCGTTATCTCCATGTTTTTGATTCAGTATATACTTTCAGTCATTTTTGTAACTAAATGACAGAGTTTCATCCTGTGTGAGGTAGTTTTAACTACAATATTTGGAGACTTTTGGTTTGAGAGTCAAATGATCAGTGACTGTTTTAAAGAATGTAATGTATTACACTTCTTCAGAGAAACGATCGATAATTTATCTCATGTTCCCCATCTCTATCATAGTACGACACGCTCTCTCTCTCTAAAGATCTCCAAAAGTCCATAACTTGCTTCTCTGTTGTCATTAATTCATCTTAATCTATTTGGTGGCAAGAAACGTCATTACTCATGAACAATTATTATATTTTACTCTGAATTTTTGACAAGCGAATCGCAAACAGGACTTGGGAAGTAATAGAAAACGTAATGTATTCAATCGTCAAAAAATGTGGAAAAAATGAGTGAACAACTCCTTTCTTGGATACAAATAAACGTTGTGACCACGGTCGTAATTTTAATGATGACAGTGTCAGCGACTAATTGACAGATGAAGTCAGAGATAATGAGGTTAAATTTAATGAGGACGGCAAACGAAAATATCGCTTTTAACAGCTGTTTAATGTGTCGACCCTGTAGCTTTAAGGTTTATATTACACTGAGAATTCAACTATGGCTTTAAAGACTATCAATCATTTCCCCCAAATCTCAAATTTCCACCATTAATTTCTTGGAAATTTTACCAATAAAACCCATAATTAACGGTGGTAATGTATCGCTTATCACGGGATTCTGAAGATTAATGAAGTTGTTCCAACAGTAGATAAACTAGGTTATGTTATTAATAGAGGAAGCAGTAAACAAGATTGAACTAGATCGAGTAATATAAGACAGTAATGATTATAGTTTGGCGTCTGATTTTCCAACATAACTAAAAATAATAAGCTTTTAAGGGGTCAAGATTATTTTCTGACATATCTTAATCATAATGAAATTTGTATACATATTCAGTAAAATTAAAAAAAAAAAAAAAAAAAAGCACGAGCACACGTACGTAGTTTTAAACTGATGCATGTAACAGATTTCACTACTGAGGCAACTAAAGCAGAATTACACACTTTTTTCAAAACTTGAAAATAACAGCTAAATCAATGAAAAAGTAAGTAAAATAAATAAATACCATGGCACCTGATCATACCTCTGATACTTTGGAGGTTCTGTGTTTGCTCTGCTCCTATTTTGTATTGTTCTATTGCATTTTGTTCTTGAACACAGTTCGTTATTTCCATATGTTTCATTATGCAGTTTCAATTTGATTTAAATCTTGAAAAAGATACTACAGGGCCTGATGGCTGAAACCTCTGTTTTAAATTTTGATACTCTACTAGAAAAAAAACGTTAAAGGTGACCTTACAGCAAAGCTTCATGATAAACGTTATGACTTTCAATTTCTAGTTGTCAACTTCCTTTCTTTATGTATCAATATACTCTTAACACATACATATTGGGTCTCAAGAGCATGCTCTGCGTAAGAACAATTTCTAAAACGAGTGAAGCTACTGACAAACAAATTGATGACACAAGAATTTCAGCTTTCTCGTTAAGTCATCATTTCGCAGGTTCTATGGTCGACACAATAGTCAGTAAACACAATCTATCATTAAGCTGAATACTCCCGGACGTTTTCTTACAAATTGTTATTTACATAATGAATTGTCTGTGGATTTTTTCCTGTTTCCAGGATCTTGACAAGGAGCGCACGGTGTGTGACCTGTTGGTAGGGGATACTCTTTCATTACATCTTATCCCATTTCTGATGTTTTAAGGTTCGTGTTTGCTTTGTTCCTCATTAGTATCGTTTGCTTGACGTTTTGAGCTCGAATATTGTTTGTTATCTCCTTATTTCATGTATAGAAAACAACATATATAGGAGAGCTAAGCTCATTTTTATTTGAGCTTGAAAATTAAATGAAAAAGGATAAGAATGGTTTTATCCGGACATTTCCCCAGACCTAATAAAGATGCATTCTCTTGAGATAACTTGAAGCAAAATAAGATAACACAAAAAATATGAGTACGTGATTGTATTTTTGTGAAGAAAAAAAACCCATTGATAATTAAGACAAACTACACAATAAAGAATTAAAATATCAATATGTTATAGCTAGGGAAATAGTGGTTAAAGGTATGATGAAAACATGTATTTTGATTCATAAAACCCAAATTGTTTCGCAAAATTGATTGACACCTTAGCATAATCAGAAACATACAATTTTAAGACATTGATCGTGGTTTTCTTGATCTTATACATGTATGAGGATACAAGCTACGCTACCACTTTGATCCAATATCAATTAAATGGTTTCAATCATATTTAAATGATCGAACTCAAAGTGTAAAAATTGGTGCTTACACATCTGAGTCACTGCCCGTCACAGCAGGTGTGCCACAGGGCTCTATTTTAGGACCCTTGTTATTTCTGTTATATATCAATGATTTACCATTATCTGTTGAACATTGTAATGTTGATATGTTTGCTGATGACACAACAATGCATTTTCATGGTAGTAATATTTCACATATTGAAGCAACTCTCAATCATGACTTGAATCAAATACAAACCTGGTGTCAACAGAATCAGATGATTTTGAATACTGATAAAACAAAGTGTATGTTAATGGGAACACACCAAAACAAATCGAAATTAGAAAATGTTAATCTTCAACTACAACTTTCTGGCCATCCCCTCGAAAATGTTAGAACAGAGAAATTATTAGGTGTTCACATTGATCATACTCTTCAATATATTTGTCATGTAGATGCAGTTTGCAAAACACTTACTTATAAATTATTTACTTTACGAAAAATTAAAAAGTTTCTACCATTGCATACTAGAAAGCTATTTTATAATGCATTTATTTTACCATCAATTTTATATTGCCTTTCTATTTGGGGTAACTCACCTCAAACTCACATCGATAGAATATACAGACTTCAGAAACGAGCAGCTAGGATTATTTTAAATGAAAAATATGATGCACCTTCAATGCCCTTGTTTAACATTTTAGGCTGGTTAACGGTTTACGAACTTCTATATTTACAGAAAAGCATTCTGATGTTCAAAATATTTCATAATATGTCTCCGGATTATATGCATGAATTTTTTGAATTTCAAAGTTCTGGATCATACACGTTACGCTCAGAGACAAATTCAGAGCTTCGTTTACCAAAAGATAAAACAAATTTATTCAAAAATTCTTTACAATATTCAGGGGTTATTATTTGGAATGAGTTGCCAGGAATTCCCAATCCCTTGCAATATTTAAAAGTATAATACATAAAATTTATGTTTTCCTTTCTTTACAATGAAATATCAATATTTAATTTATTCTGGTGTAACAAAGTGTTTATATTTTATTGTTTCATGTTTGTAATTATTGTCTTTATTGTATAAAACATTGTGTATATGTTATAAAGAAGGCCCTGAGGAAGACTAGTGCTTGCACTAATCGGGTTACCTTCTATAAATAAAGTATTATTATTATTATTATTATTATTATTATTGAACGCTTGTCTATATAAACATTAGTTGAACCGGGAAATTCACATCAGCAGCAGCTTAATGTAATCTAAATGCCTCTATTTTTATTTCACTAATTTAACAAAACACATTTTGGGCAGTTTTAAGCCACATTTTTTTTTCATTTTTCTGGTATATTATGAAACTTAAAACTCGTGTGGTTGACAGTTGAGTAACATATCATAAGAACTATCCTGTTGTGATGCCCTACTAAGAGGGATGTTGTGTGTTGTGAGTGGATTTGCTGACTAACCATCAGGGTTGAAGGTTGACAGATATACAGTGTGAAACAAAATCATCATTAAATTGTTGAGTTTTATTTAAACCGAAGCCTCAATCTTACCTCAAACCCCACCATGAGCTAAATGACATATGTTCCCTAATCTATATTTATACAATAAAATGCTCTCTTTGGTTGTTAGTACAGGAAAATGTCACAGATGTTGCTAAAAAAATACATAATCCGTGTAAGCAGGTTATGTATTTTTTTTCTCCAATAGTCGTGACGTTAATTCCCGTATTCACAAAGGAAGACATTTTGTTCTTATCTATATATCTTTATAAGAAAAAAGCATTCAAGGTAAAATTAAATATGTTAAAAATTGTATTACTGTCTTATATGTAGACTTATTGTGTGCATAACTGATAGCATAGCTAATGTTCAAGAAATATATACAAGTGGCTTGCTTAATGTCGTTTATGGATTGATTAACAGCAATGGTATTCATAAGAAATGAAGGAAATATAATATTAATTCAATTAAGTGGATGTATATATAAAAGCATATGCAACAATATGTTACATGATATATGGAATTCACATTTTCATATTCGATTATATTGAACTTCAAAATTTAAAAGATTTAAAAGTCAACTGCACCGACATCATCACGAATGGATATAATCCAAGCAAAGCTTCTAGATTTGATGTCCACAAGTGATTTTGTAACGCAAAAAAATCCCCACACAAAATAAGACAGAATATTACGTCAGAACCAATGTCTCCCATTGAGAGAAACAATGAGAAATGAAACTTAGAAATTAGGACATGATGTAATATTCAAATGTTTTGCTTGCTCTATGCTTCTTAATGCTATGTCAAATGCACAGATGCGTGTATGAATAATATAGTACGGTACTTTCACAATATTTTAGAAAAAATGCAAGAATTTTCAATCTGACAGGTGTTTTTTAACTTCTCTGAGTTGTGATCAAACACATATACATGTTGCAAATATATATGTAATATGGATGATGAAAAAACTCGTAAATAATGTTGAATATAATGCAATAAGTAAGCACATGTCCTTTTTTTAAACTCACGACGATGAAAGGTGCACTTTAAATAATATTTCACGGCTGACGTACATGTAATGCAAGTATTTTGAAGATAATAATTTAATTCAGTCTGGACGCGAAAGAACACTGACACCTGTTGCACTTTGCATTACTCTTCAAGCTAGTGTCTTTCGTCATTCACTGTACGATGTAGCAAGTGTGTGTTTATTCAAAAATAACGTTCAGGATTAAATTTCAGGTATCAGACCGGAACGCATATTTATTTATTTACCTCTTGAAAATGAATCCAGTTTTCGTGGAAGTACCATGGCAAGTTCACCAAATCTATCTCTTAAACAACGTCTGATAGCACGAGAAGTCAAAGATGTAAACTCGCTCGACTTATGGCGTGCATGCCTAGCGGAGTTTTTGGGCACAGGATTGCTTGCGTTTCTGGCTGTTGGTGCAGGACTCTCGCCAGAAGGAAGTCCTCCAGTCTCCAGCGTTCATATTGCTTTAGAAGCGGGTTTTTTCATTGCAGCCATAATAACGACCTTGAACACTATCAGTGGGGGTCATGTAAATCCTGCAATAAGCCTCGGGTTTCTACTAACGGGACACATTGGATTTATCCGTTTTCTCCTGTATATTACAGCACAAACAGTGGGTGCCATTGCGGGATGCGGTTTGCTAATGGCCTTGACCCCGGATAACCTCCATCAGAGTGGTTTTGGGGTTATAACCCCGGGGCCAAATGTCACGGCTGCACAGGCCTTTGGGGCAGAGGTTGTTATTACATTCGTTCTGGATTTCACCACTTTTTCTTTTGTGGATAACGGGAGACATGATTTGTCGGGATCCATTCCATTAATCATTGGAATTGTTGTAACTTTAAATATCTTTGCGATGGTATGTATGCATACATTAACCTGTCATTTAAATCACACATCTTAGAGAACATGTTCATATATTACAGAGGTAGCTAATTATGAGGGAATGAAATAACAACAAGGTGAGAAGATTTATTTCTTTGAAAAGAAAATTTCATTTACAAAATATACCAGAAGGTTTTTTACAACCAACAGACATTTTTACTTTAAATGACAAAATTTATGAATATTTGATAAAGTTTATGGTTAAAAACCCATTAGTTAAGCTCAAGATACAATATACTTTTTAAGCTACTAAACCGGATTAGAACATTTTGCAGGTCAGAAATTTTTTAGTCTGCAAGCAGACACTATATTTTATCAAAACTTGAAAACATGAAATTGATACGTACTTAAACATTGTTGAACACATTTACCGAGTGAAAAATCATTAACAGTTATGCTTGCTTGTATATATATCTTTAGTTTTTGCGATGTTTAATATTTTCTGATTGCTTTGTTCCAGTTTAATGTATCAGGAGGCTGCATGAATCCTGCCAGGAATTTCGGACCAATGGTTATAACAGGGAACTACACATATGCATGGGTAAACTATATATGTGCATGGCTCTAAATATAAAGAAGTTTCCGATTATTTTTAAGCATTAAAATTTATTTATTTTAAAATTGAGACTTATTAGAAAGACATTATGTCCGTAAATTAAAAAAAAATTCCCTGGGCATGGATAACCAGGGTCATATTTCGATTACTATGTACTTGTTTGTTTAGGTCAACCCTGGACAGTTTTTGTTTTGAAGGGGATTACAAAAATACATCAACTTATCAATTTGAGTTCATTTGCAGTGAAAAGATTCTGTTTGCTTATTTGAGAGGAAATGTCAGAAATTTCTCAACAATGTCATCTTCATTAAATTCTTGTACAAAGAAATGAAGAGATACCCCCTGTGAACATAGATAGGACATTTAGAAATGGATTGGTTGTCTCTTTCTTTAAAAGAAAGAATCCGTCCTAATGCCTTCTATTCGTATCGTCCACTGTGTCTGTTTGATAATATAATTGTTTACAAGTACCTTGAAGAGGCAAAGAGCATAAAGAAGCATTCATTTAAGGAAAGATAGATATAATGGGTATCTGTATGAACGAAAATGTTAAGGAGATGATATTGTATTACTGTAAAACGAGACGGGTCTATTTCAGCAAGCTTGCAGATATAATCTGTGATACTAAATAAGTAAGGTTATACAACTTTTCTTTGGTAAAAGAAACTATTTTATTGTGCGCCTGTCCCAGTGTTATATTTAGGGGATATTTCTCCAAAGCAATGTGAAGGTTTTAAGAAGACACGTGCTTCTGGTTTATCATTAGATAACACTAATACGTTGTAAAAACAGTAACATTTTTAAAAAAGTTCATTTATTAAGTTAATTGTTATAAATAAGTGGAAATTGATAAATTTTACACTTTCAAGGAAACAACATTTTTTTAAACTTCGTGATTAAATGCCAGCAACAAAGTAGCGTTAATTGTTTAATAAGCTGTGATAATAATCATTGACTTTAGAAAGGAAAGTGAACTTACATCTCGAGAAAAATATGATTTTTTTTTATTTCAGGGTTTCTATTAAAAAAAAAATACTAATAAATTATTATAGTTTAAGCTAAAACACGGTATATTAACAAAATTTGGGATTTTTCTGAGAAAATTTGAATTTTTGCAAAATATAAGGATTCTTCATGGAAATATTGATTTAAAAGCATATGTTTAATTTACTAACAGTTAGAAATTTGAAATTTCCAACTTTTCTTTGGAAAATAGAAGAAAAAAAAACGAGAGGTACTTATGTACATTGAAGTTCAAAAACGTATCAGATTTGTGTCTTTATTATTGTTCTGTTGTATGTAATAAGTTTCTGGTGCGGGTTTGATAAAAGAGTTTTCTCACTCACAACTATTGAAAGAGCGAATACATTGAAGACTTTTCTACCCCTCATATGAACAACAGACATAAGAAAAGTAATACTAGTATATAAACAGAAATACAAGGTATGTCTTTTCTTTTTCAGGTGTATTGGCTTGGACCTATGGTTGGTGGTGGACTGGGAGCCGTGCTGTACGATAAAGTGTTCTCCACACAGGTCTGCAAAAGGAGGCTGAAAAGTTGTAGAGGGGGCGTGTCCACACACGAGGAGGAGGCGATCACAGAAAAGGAGGAAGAAAATGGGAACATCAATATAAAATTGCTCGATTCCGGACAAGTTCCCTAGATAACCGATCTGTTAATGTCTGAAGAAGCATATGTTATCTTCGATAGGAATGCACCGTGATGGTTCGGTTGGAGTACAGACGCTGTAAAATATAAACTGATTTGTATGTCTTTGTGGTCCCTTTGCTAAAGGGACTTGTATTTATCTATAGTATTATACGTGTATAATGATCAGTATTTCCAAAGATTATTTTTCTAAATATATATCTTTATTACTGTTAAAAATGTATATAAAAGTTATACTTTGAAATTAATATTTTAACAAAGACAGTACTTGCTTCTTAATTATGTTATTTATTATGCTGTGTGCAGTTTGGATAAACTACTTATCATTTACTCTGTATACTTCCCGTCGATTGCTGTTGTTTAAAATGAGTTATCTTGAAAACAAAATGCCTGAGGTAGATTTGTCTCATCAAAGAATCGTTAAACCTCTGATAACCCTAAAACACTGCGTATTCCAGTGTCTACCTTTTGGACTCATTTCTCAGCTGGACTCTTTAAAACAAAAAGAGTCCAGCTGAGTAAATATTGGGTTGTGTTCAAAAAAGCAATTGTCTACTTTCATTTTTCTTACCGAGCAAGTATGCAAGCCTTCTTTGATTTACAAGTTTTAGTTTACTAGGCCTACCACTCTTTTTAAATTGAATTCCTCTTATTTTTCAATCTTCTGTATCTCAATACAAAGGAGACAGGGAAATACAGGTGTTTCGGTAGTTTACCAGGTTTTTAAAATTGAATTCCTTGATGAGTTTTATCTTAAATAGGCGTTTTTGCTTTCTAGAGCACTAATTTGAACAACAGATGACAACGGGCAGTATACATTGTGCATAACATAAATGAGAAGTCATCTATGATTACTTCATGTTATCATAAACATGTTAATGTTAAATATTGATATTGTTATAAAATGATATTAAATTTAACATATTGTTAAATTCAAATATTCTATATAATTTTGAAAAAAACCATATTTTGTTATAAACAAATAAATAAAATACATTATCATGTTATATAGCTATTATCTCAAAAATTTTCTCTGCAATCCACAAATCACATTTGATTATAAATGAATCAGGTGAATTATTATATACGAATAAGTGAACTATAGTATTTGTAAAGTATGAATTTGGGTTAAAATTTTACAACATCCTTTTTACCTAACATTTGAAGTGAGAAAACAAACTAGCTAAGAACACACCATTATATTTTCCCTAAAGTAATCAAAATGCAATCACACGAAATATTAGAATAAATTTTCCGCCAACTTAACACAGACGTATAAAAATATTAATCCTTAGAAAAGTTCATAATTACAAAATGAAGAAATGCATAGATGTGATGTAAAATCGATAAAATATTCTGGAATTGCAATTATCTTTTTTGTTGATGTAACGCCCTTAAACCAAGGTCCCCTAATACTCCTGATAGGATAAATGTAAAGTGTATTTAATGAAAATTGTGATTGGAATTTCGCTCATGGGAATTAACCATTCAAAAACGCACACAGGAAGGACGTTTTTATCACTGGTGATCTTCCTTATGACAGATAAAAACCAAAACCAGGCAAGGTCACTGATTGCTGCCCTCATTGAATCCGGAAAGAAAAAGATGCTTTATTGACATAAAGTCATGGAAGTATGATTGTGATCGGATAAAAAAACAAATCAAAGTGGATTAGTATAAACGGAAAATAAAGAATTGAGAATAAAGACCTTTACATAGAGTCAACATGTGGTCATAAAAGGGAAGTAACTCATTCAAATAGTCTTTTGATGAAACAGAGTCAGATATAGTATGCAAACTTACGCATCATCGAGCTGTTTAATATCAAGGATTATTGTATTAAATCCCTAGCTAAAAAGTGGCCTTTGGTGGACTCAAAATCTTAATTTAAAAAAACAAGTATATACTGACAAAACGTCAGAGATACTCAAGCTGTAGAAAGTCAACTAGGAAGTGTCATTAATATCCTAAAATGGTATAAGATGAGGGCTATTGAGTTCAATATTCTCTTGAATAAAATACATGTACATAAAACAAATTTCTTATATTGAAGTTAATGAGAATAAATATAATTAATCATACTACTTTTTAAGATGAATTTACGTTACTCACTTTCAGGAATATTTTATAAAGCATACTGGCCGTTTCTTAATTTAATGAAATATTTTTATGATGTTATACTTCAAACTATATATATGGTTTTTTTTTATTATTATTTTTGCGTAATGAAGTACATCTATCACAGTTTAATATACATCAATCCAAATGTATTTGGTTCGGCTCCAAAAAAATCCACGTGATCGCGGGATCATCTGTGCTGCATGTCTAATATATATTCCTTACGAATCCAAAAGAAGTTATATAGGTTCCGTTACCAAAGCTGAAGATAACTACTAGTGCGATATTTTGAAATTTAAAAAAACAAACGTACGAGGGAGAATTTAACATTAATGTGCTATTATTTTACTGTCACTCAAAGTGCACATGCACTTCATTCTCAGGCCCGTGTGAAACAATTTAAATATGGGGGGTTCAACCATACATTTTCTGGCCATGCATAGTAGAATTTGTTAACAATGGGTACCCTGCGTCACCTTTCAGAGTAAACATTGGACTCGTCCAAAGATGCTTTGTCGGCGTCTGTGAAAGTTACCTGAGATTCCTACGCAAAGGAAAGCGCGAAATCTCTGTATAGAAACTGTTGCGGCTGCGGAGCTTTACTTATTGATCATTCGCCATAGAAAAGAATCCGACATTTAAAGCCTAATATCTTCGAATATAGAGACTTTTTCATGATAAGCTTCATTTTTGTTTCTAGAAATATTTTTATCTACAAAAATAATATCTTTTCGTGTATTTTAACTGAGTAAATCGATGACCTAGCATCGTTTTAGATAACTCAAGCCCCTCTAGGGCTTGAGTAAAAAGAGAAAATTCGTGTTTACACCAACGGGCTTTGAAAGTAACCTTTAACATGCATGGTGATATGATGTTGGTACTTTTTTCTCAAAAAATGTATTTGGTATTCTTAAGATGACTCAAACATCATAGAAACCGTTCGATAATAAAATATATTTTAAGTTAATTGTAATGTATATGAATAGCACTCAATTATTATTCTAACTGTTTTGATATGTCAAGGATTGTAAAATTGGGAGATAGCTAGGAATGGAAGATATATTGATACATATGATTGGTAAAGAATGGGTAAAATCATAGTATTGTCCTGGGGCCAATCCATCAGGTTACAGGATTCAGGCATTATACCACATGTCATTAACTTCATCACCGACTTCTTCCAGAAAACCCATATATTTATTTATTTTTTGAGACAATCGAAATGCTGTATAAAGTTTTTCTTCAGTAGGTATTCTGCTAAGTCAATTATTCTTTATGTGGGTAATTTTTTTTCTGATATCCTTGATCTCTGCTCTGTTTGATTCTGATAAAAGCAAGCTTTCAATGGAATTGCAATAATTTTTATTCTTTTTATTTTTTTTAAATATTATAAATAGCTTACTTTAATTTTCAACATTTGTCTAATGTTTTAAGTTCTTTTGCTAATGGAATTCGTACATAGAGATAACGAACAGTATTCAAGATCAAAAGTTCATAAAACAAAACAAAATAGGAGCAGAGCAAACACAGACTTCCAAAACATCAGAGGTGGGATCAGGTGCCATGGAGGAGTAAGCATCCAATGCCGACCGGTCACATCCGCCGTGTGCTCCTTGTCATGATCAGAAGATAACGGGAAAATCCGTCGTCAATTCAGTGTATAAATAATGAACTAACAATTAGTATGAAAAACGTCAGTCAGCATTTGACTCAGTGAAAAATTGTATCGACCACAGAACTTATGAAATGATTACTTTAAACGAGACAGCTGATATTCTTGTTTATCAACTTGTTTTGCAATAACATACCTATAGATAGGCCTCTGTTTTCGTTCATTTTTTAATCTAAAGTACATGTGTAGTAGTAAATGCGCTCCTTTTATATGTCATGTTTGTTAATTAATGATGACTAATTTGTTCAATGTTGTTACTTTGATTCAAAGGATCTTGTAAGCTCTGAAATTTATATAGTCCTTATTAAAGATTTAAACAAAGTTTTCGCATTTGGAAAGGCAAACATGCAACCCCTAATTAAAGAAACTAAAACGTCTTTATCCTTTTGGTGATTTGTATTGGGTTTACTTGCTCAGTGGTCTTCAAAAAATTTAAAGTAAAAAACTAGCGAAGGAGGAAATCTCTACTTTTGGCATACGTTGACCAAAATGGCTTTCAATATTTCAACGTTGACCAAATGGATCTCAATATTAACCTTTTTTGCTGTATAAATCAGACAATAATCATATTACTCTACGAAACATTAAACGTAAAGAATTCAGCATTAACTTTGTATTCATTATTCATGGATAAGGAGTAATGGAAAAAACTAACGGTGTTGAAAAACTTTCATTTACAGATTATAAAGCATTAAGCTGTCAGAGTGGAAGAAATCCTCACTACTCCCACAAAAGGCAAGAGATGATCGGGAGCAGGTTTGATATGTTATCACAAGTATAAACGACAGTCAAATATTGTAAAAGGGTCTGATTTTATGTATATTTTATATTTAAGTACTTTGTCATGCTGAAATGAAACCAAATATTCTGTAAAAAGCTGTTTATGTTCGGATGTCTTTTAAATAGCTATGAAGGACTGACTAGCATATCACATTAAAATTTATAAATTCCATTAAGAAGTTCGAATTTTGAGGTACAATATCAAATTGTCGCAAATCTCAGCGGAATGGTTACATGATCCTTACAGATTATCTCTTGCATGTATTAAGTGTTATCCTTAAGTGGGTCATTTTAAAATTCTTTTTAGTCCTTGTTGTCATTCCCAAAAAAATATGTCGGCAACATAACACCTGAAACTAAGTCAGGGCGACATATATTGTTCGACCTTTAGTGTTGTCAAGTAATGATCTCTTAGATGACAATCTACCTTAAACTTCACAGAAATATTAATCACTCAATTACGTACGTATAATTATTTTATACTCAACAAAAATCGATGTATGATGGTCCGACAGGACCAGTTGCTTTTATAGTTAAACAAAGCGAAACAGATTTAATTCAGAAAATGCCTTAAACAGAAACTTCTGCTTTCGGGCGTAAGCATGTCTTATCAAACATGCAGGAGTATGCTTCATAAAGCTAACTTGAAAGCACATCCGCCTGCCACACACCAAATTCTGACTGCAGACACAGAGTAATTAAGGATATGGAGATAACGAACAGTATTCAATATCAAAGTCTATAAAACAATATAAAATAGGAGCAGAGCAAACACAGACCTCTTAAAACATCAGAGGTGGGATCAGGTACCATGGAGGAGTGAGCATCCCCTTGCTGATCGGTCACACTCGCCGTGTGCTCCTTGTCATGATCAGGAAATAACGGAAAAATCCGTCGTCAATTCAGTGTATAAATGATTGACTTACAATTAGCATGAAAAACGTCAGTCAGCATTTGACTCAATGATAAATTGTATTTGCTGACAAGTTCATTGTATCGACCAAATAACTTACGAAATGATGACTTTAAAAATGACTGCTGATATCCTTTTTTATCAACTTGTATGTCAATAATTTACCTCATTTTAGAAATTGTTCATACGCAGAGCATGCTCTTGTGTATCGAATCAGCTGAGATATATAAACGCCGTACGCAGGAGATGAAGGTATATTGCTGCATAAGTAAGGGAAGTTGACGATAGAAAAGTTAAAGTCATCACGTTTATCATAAGAAAAATATTAGTAAACTAAAATGAGTATAATTTTAGTACGAAAAGTGGCATATGTAAGAAATGACGCAAAATGACGAACCCGCCACTTGAGATCCGTACTCTTGACAGAAGAATAAAGTTTTCTGTGGATT